ATTTATACAACCTTAGTTCTTACTATAGCTTTCTACTAGTTTTCTGTTTGCTGATCTCTTCGAATATTTTATAAGATAGATTTTTTCAATTCAGTTAGCTGTAAAGCCAAGTTAGTATTACTAATTCTCTTTATAGAATAGACTTACTTGCACCTAATTCAATCTACATTTTTCAGAGTAATAGTTTCTTTTCTAGATCAAATATTAGCTAGTATAACTATCAAAAGCTGTACTACTTCACCAAATTGGAATTTCTACTATATAGATCCTCTGCTTATAGATTCTATTAAGATTTATTTATGCAATATTATATTATACTACTAATATCTAAATGGTATTAGTATAATGAGATTTACAGATTTTTAATCCTAGAAATGAACAGGGTTTACTATAAGTTGAGTACAAAAGTTTAGATAATTATTCAAATTTATTAACAGTAGGATTTGAACTCTAGACTTTTTGTATAGTAGTCTAGCAACCTAACTACTACACTAAGATTACTAGATCTTGTAAATTTTTAAATCTAATTTTTAAAATTTTATATATCAATAAGTTTTAAACTAATTTTAATAATTTTACTACAGTTAGAATTACAAAAACCTACTCTACAAGTTTACTTAGAAGCTTAAAAAATATTTAATTAGTAAAAATTTTATAATTCAAATTACAAAAAAAATATACTATTAATTTTATATATAAATTTAAAATATTACATCCTACTTTTAAATAAAATAAAAAAATTAACTTATCAAATAAAAAATATAAAAACTAAAATCTAAAAAAATAAACTATTTAATACAAAAAATATTATTAATCTTAATAGAAAATGAATTTCATCTTCTTCAAATTAGCTAATCAAATTATAGAATTAGGTATGATCTGTAAAGTTTCTTTGTATAACAAAACAAAAGTTTTTTTTAAAAAAATTAAAGAATTAATAATAACTTAAAATTTTGTCTATGAAACTATTTTCTATATACTAATAAAAAAATTCTTTGCTAAATTTTAGTATAAATTATATTTTCTAATCTAGTATTAATCTAACTCTAATTAATATTTTAAAAAATTTGTAAATACAGAAAGTAAAATTTACTTATTAATTTTAGTTATTTTCTAATATGAAAACTAGAATAAAATAAATTATTTGCATTATATATATAGTAGTAAATAAAATAAATTATTTAAATAATTTTTTTTTTATTATTACAGCAAGGCCTTAATGCTAATTAATTTTTATTAAGTTGTTTATAGGTTTATATTAGTTAGTAAAAGTACAATTAGTTATATATATAACTTTAATTATTATCTATTTAAAAGTTCTGTTTGGAAGTTATCTACTAATTGCTATATCTAGTATCTATTTCTGAATACTTTATTTTAAACTCTCTAGTATTTCTGTTATCTCTAATGTTAACTCAATTTTATTTTTAAATTTGCATAATCTCATATTACCTTATTGAAGACTACTCAGACTAGCTTGTACCTTAGTTTCCCTTATTAGAAGGGTTCTATCTCAAAGTACCTTTTTGTTTTTATCAGAAGAGGCTTGTAAAATACTTTAACTATATTATACTATATCCTAATTAAGCTAGCATATACCCTTATAGATATTCATATAAACTCAGTTCTTACTGTAGTTCTCAACCAGATTAGTTCTTTATATATTCAAAAGTTTCACAAATTAAATCCTTTCAAATCTAGTTAGCTATTAAGCTAGGTTAATATTGCTGCTAATACAAAGCATTAGGTTGTATTATATAGCAAACTTACTTGTATCTGCTTAATTTGCAACTTTCATATATAGACTTCTTTTCTGAATTAAGCATTAACTAGTATAACTATTAAAATCTGTACTACTTTATTTAATTCAGAATTTTTACTATATAGATCCTCTATCTATATATCCTATTAAAATTTAGTTATGTATTATAACTCAAATATTGTATTATACTTCTAATATCTAATTGACATTATGCAATATGATTTATAGAGTTACAACCTCCAGAAACAAACAGGATTTATCATAAGTTGAATACAAAGATTTGAGTAATTATTCAAATTTATTGATAGTAGGATTTGAACTCCAGACTTCTTATATAGCAGTTTGACAACCTAATCACTATACTAAAATTACTAAACCTTTTTAAATAATTTGAATTTATTTAATTTAAAAAAAATTATTTATTTAATTCAAAAAAAATTATATATTTAATTTAAAAAACTATATATTTATATAGAATTATTTAAAAAATACTAACTTCAGACTACAGAATCTGAATTTGAGTTTAAGAGAATCTAAATTCAGATTCAAGAAAACTTAAATTCAGGTTTAAAAAAATCTGAATTTGGGTTTAAATAAACCTAAATTCTGGTTTAAAAAACCTGAGTTTGGGTTCAAAGAAGCTAAGTTCGAGTTCAAAAGAATCTGAATTTAGGTTTAGAAAAATCTGAATTCAGGTTTGATAAAACCTAAATTTGGGAACTAGAGAACCTAAATTTGAGTTCTAAGAACCTGAATTCAGGTTTAAGAAAATATGAATTCGAGTTCTAAAAACCTGAATTCTGGTTCAAATAAACCTAAATTTGAGTTCAAGTGAATCCAAATTCAGGTTCAAATATTAATAAAAATTGAAAACTAGTATCTAAAGCAACATCTGAGTTCTGAGAGCTAGTATTGTAATAAATAATTAGTTAGTAATCATAAATAATTATAAGTAGATTTACAAAAATTAATTAATCATATAAACTTCTGTTTAAGCATAGGTAAAGTTTATTATTTGTTATAATTAGTTGTTTATTTTTATTAAAAAAAATATATTTTTTATATTGTTTATAAAAGAACTTTCAACTTAAAAGTAGTAAAATTTTTTTTTTATAATTAATATAGCTTAAAATTTTGTCATATTATATTTTAAAAACTTAACTTTCATATTTGTGTTTGATATCTAGTTAGAACTAGTTATTCCACTATCTTGTTTTAGGAGCAATTCTAACAATACTAGCATATAACACAAAGTTAGTATATTAAATTTTTTAATCTTTAGAATAAAGTAACTAGCAAAAATTATAAGTTTTTTGATTTAAAGTTTCTAATATTATATGCACAAGTTATAAAATATGCAAAAGTAAAAATAACTAAAATTATCAACTATATTGAAATATCATAGTAATATAAAGAATGATCTTTAATTTTAGCCAATCAAACTTCTTGCTAATTATATAATAAAATCAAACTTGACCAATGCTTTCTGTCTATGAGCCCTGTTACTATACTTGTTACCTGAAACCTTTTTTCTAAAATCCAAAAGTTTCAGATTTTGAATTATACTTTCTGAAACTTCTCATGAAACCAAAAACCCTTTCTGAAACTCAAAACCTCACCTGAAATTTGAAACCTCTTCCTAAACTCCAAAATCTATCTCGAAACCTGAAACCTTTTCTATAATTAAAAATTTAATATGAAACTCACCTGAAACTAAAATCTAGCATCAAATTTAATTTTACTATTATATATAAGTTTTGCTATAATTCTATAGTAATAGTAAATCATAATCTGATATAACATAAAATTAGTATTTTAAGCTGGCTAAAGCAGCTGCAGCTAAGCCAGCTTAGCCAGTTAAACCAACTGATAAAATATAGTCAGCTGGCTAATGCGGCTAAAGCAGGCCAACATTAAGAATTAGTTTGGCCGGTATTAAGAATTAATTAATTAGGCCAGGCATTAAGAGTTAGTTTGGCCGGTATTAAGAATTAATTAGGCCAGGCATTAAGAGTTAGTTAGGCCGGCATTAAGGATTAGTTAGGCCGGCATTAAGAATCAGTTAGGCTGGTATTAAGAATCAGTTAGGCTGGCATTAAGAATTAGTTAGGCATTAAGAATTAGTTGGCCCGGTATTAAGAATTAGTTTGGCCCGGCATTAGGAATTAGTTAGGTCGGCTTAAGAATTAGTATGGAAAAATCTAAGCTGCTTAGCCATTTTGGTTGGCTGGCTAAGCCAGCTGACCAAAACTATGCGGCTTAAATTACTAGTGCAAAATTTACACGTGTAACGTTAACACGCATGGGCGAAAATTTTTGATGGGAATGCTGTAATTATTAAAATTAAGTGATATTACGAAATAGATATTATGATAAATTACTAATTATTTTGATAAATTCACATAGTATAGCATCTTTCAAATCTTTTTTCTGCCAGCTTTGTAACAAGTCTTATTATTCTTAATCATCATTAAGCAATCATGAAATTGTTTAACATAAGATGAACTGCATAGTTCTAGACTACCAATATTTTTCCATCGCATCTGAAGAAATTCTTAATCACTTTCGTGCAGTTTTTCTTCAAGATATCAATAGTAAATTATGTTTTTATCAGATAAGTAAAAGGATAAAACATTTTCAATAGAATTTTCCAGAAAGTCTATTTTATCTATTTTTAAATGAAACTGTCTGAATTTTCTTATCTATACGAAAATATACTTGTATTTTTAATAGACAAAATGGCTATAATCAGATAGGAACTATAATGCGATGTGAATTTTGGAGAGAAAGATAGGATATGAGACTTTTGTATTATTTGAAGAAATAAATAGTAGAGGTAATATTGTTGAAACTTATTACATATTACATGGAATATTAAAATAAACTTTGAAATTACAGTGTAGAACAATTGAAATAATGAATTAAATAATAATTTATTACTGTATAAAATATATTATTGCTATTGTTATATTCACAGATTTATTTATAGACTATGTGCATTTTTTATATTAATTAAAATTGTGTATTTTATTACTTTGCTTAAATATTCAGTAGGTGTTTTATTAATTCTATAATGTATTTGATGATTTTCAAAACTGCAAATTTAATATACAGCTAACTATCTTTCTTTACAAGTTCCTTCTTCCATAGTCATATTACCAAAAAATAATTGTACCTAAAAAAAAAAAAAAAAAAAAAAAAAAAAAAACCTTAAGAGATTAAACCAGACTGATTAAAAATGGAGGGGGAAAACTATCAAGTATTAGTAAAATACCTTACCGAGTTAGTCGTACCCTCCGAATACAATAAGTTACAGTGCCGAAAACTTAGAGCTCAAGCCCGATATTTTCTAGTACGAGAGGGAATTTTATACCGAAGGACTAAGGAAGAATTGTTAAAACCATTAAGGGTTGTCCAGCGAAATGAAGTACGAATTGTTTTGGATGCTATACATGGAAATGCAATAGGTGGACATATGGGAGAAAAGGCTACAATTGATAAGATTTCCAAACGATATTACTGGCTACGAATGATATCTGATATAAAAAATTTTATAAAAGGGTGCGAAGTCTGTCAACAAAGAGGACGAGCTATCACGCACGAACCTTTACACCCTATAAAGCCAGTACAGCCGTTTGACCGAATAGGGATTGACTTCGTTGGACCTTTACCACAGACGAAACGAGGAAATAAATATCTGATAGTCGCCACAGAATTCTTTACCAAATGGCCCGAAGCTAGTGTGTTACCAGACTGTAAGGCAGAATCGGTGGCATCCTTCCTAGTGAATGACATTATCAGTAGACACGGGTGTCCCAAAGAAATTATTTCAGATCAGGGTTCGCACTTCAATAACCGAATAATTGCTGATATTTGTGCAAGCTTAAGTATCAAACATAGAATGTCATCAAGTTACCATCCTCAAATGAATAGTCAAGTGGAAAGATTCAACCGCACTCTATGTGGAATACTAGCGAAAAGTATGATTCAATATCAAGAAGACTGAGATGAATTTGTTCAATTATCTTTATTCGCTTACCGAACGGCACGACATGGGACCACTAAGTATGAACCATTTTTCTTGACATATGGACGGGAGGCTCGATTACCTGTAGAATCCGAAGTAGAAACCTATCCAACCGAACCAGCTAATGAAGAAGGAGAACAATTAGCTATCGTTGCTAGAATAGTAACTTTAATAGATAATTTAAAGGAAGCGCGTGCTATTACTTTGGAGAATATCAAACGATCACAAAGAAAGCAGATATTGGACTATAATAGTCGACACTCCCTACATAGCTTCTCTATCGGTGATAAAGTATGGCGTTATCAGGCAAAACTCGATAGTCGAAAAGGTGGAAAATTAGAACCACGATGGCTCGGCCCGTACTGAATACATAAAACATTTGGGAATGGTACCTATAGGTTACGTACACTAGATGGAAAAGTATTAGTACAAAGTGTGCATGGCAGCTTACTGAAACTGTATATAGAGCAAGACGAATCTATATTTCCCCGTAAGCCCTCAAAATAAGAAGCCTTTGATGGTTAAATCAAAAAAAAAAAAAAAAAAAAAAAAAAAATTTTTATAAAAGGAACAAAAAAAAAAAATTTTTAACAATTCTGAAGCATTCTCGGAATAACCATCGATCGGAACTAACAAATAACCAATGGAACAACGACTTGAAACTATTCGATCGCACGTACAAAAATTGGTGGCTGTCCTAAACTCAGACGAACTTGTGATTCTAAATCGTAATCATGTAACCCTACAGACATCTGATCAAGAAGTCTCCGAATACCTTCAGATCCCTGAAAAAAAGACTGCGGCTGAGAAAATTCAAGAAAGCATGCCCATTTACCTTCATGATTTAAATCGCAGAAACCCAACAAGCCTTATTCTTCCTTTTGAAACTCCAGGAGAAAATTGGGATGAAAAATTAGCCTATTCTTGCCAGGCAATACTTGCTTTAGACGCGCGAAAAAAGTCGAATGCTCAAACTCTAGAAGCCTACTATCGAATTGGAAGTATTTTAGCTGAAAAGGGGTGGAATGATGCAGCTAGAAAAAAATTTTGAACGTTCTTTTCATTAGAAAAAGGGAAAACTGTATGGAAGATCTCGAAGAGAGTTTATCAATTGTTTACCATCCGTGGGGAAGGATATTTGTATTTGGTAGAACATATTAATATCACCATACTTGAAAAAATGTATGATGAAGACTTCTCTGACCAATTGTTAGAAGAGGCGCAGGCTCTGAGAAGAGAAGAAGTGAATCTGGTGTTGACCGATTCGCGGGAGCTCATCCTTTCGAGAGAGGAATGATGTTATGCTTCCGAATTTCATTTTTCCATATTTAGTAAATTTAATATTATATTATTATTATTTTTTATTTTTTATTTTATTTTATTTTTTTTATCAGTATTATTATCAGTATTCTTTATTTGGGTAAGATCCGAGTAGGCACAATTAGATAGGTTTAACCCTCAACGGGGGATTAAAACCCTCAACGAGCGTTAAAGCTCCTCAATGGGGGTGTATAACCCTCAGACAGGAGTAGAAACCCTCAGTAAGGGATTAGGACATCCAGACCACTTTAAAATATATAAAGGATGGGTTTCAGTGTGAAATAAGGAAGGTCGTCCGAAATATTTATAATTTTCTACAATTTTAGTTTAGAACGCCAGTCATATATTAAAATTTGTTTACTTAAATTAAAGCATAAATAAAAGAGAAACTTTTGCCTTATAAATTCGAAAGTTTATTGATAATATAAATTGAAACATAGTGTTTGCATAATAGTAACTTCTTTACCGCTGATCACGAGATTTATGTCATTAACTCAAGTAATAATAATAATTCATACAATTCATATACCTAGTATCTTTTGTTTACGATCGAAGCTAAATCGAACTTAACCCTAACAAGCTCTCCTACTGATCGTAACATTTGGTGCCGATTGTGTGGATTGGAACCTATAACCAGAATTGAACATTAATTTTTAGCCTAAAACCAAAAAAAAAAAAAAAAAAAAAAAAAAAAAGAAAGAGAGAATCGAAATCGAAGGAACTCATCTATTATGGACCATTTTTTGGATATAGATAATGAGGATAGGAACAACATTCCAGAAGGACAAGAAAACGGTTTCCAGCAACAAATTCAACAATTACTGCAATTAATGGCGGGCGCTCTACCTCAGGCATTTCAAAATAATCAAATACGGGAAATGAACGTCGTAACTATTCCTACGTTTGCCGGTGGGAATCAAGATCTGGTAGCATGGTTAGAGTCAGTAAGCCATGCATTTGAAGCAAATAATATTCAAGGTGATCGCCGGATAGCAGTTATTAGTGTATATTTAATGGGGATGGCAGCTATGTGGTGGGAAACTAGGAGAAATGTTAGGCCCCATATTGATCGATAGGAGGATGATCTTCACCCGAATACAAGTTTCGTTCACCAGTTCCGTCAAAACTTTTGTACACAAGTTCTCATGAGCCAATGGAATACCGAATTACTTACCAGGCGCCAAAAGGTAGGAGAGACCGTTGATCAATATGCAGCGGAAATGGCAGCATTATTTAGACGAGTGACAGTAGGGGGTAACCAGTACCTCGAATCGATGAAAGCACAGATCTTCGTACAAGGATTACAACCCAATTTAGCGCTTGCAGTAGGATTGTTTATGCCCGAAACCCTACAGGCGGCAATAGAAAGAGCTAAAGTCAGTGAACTGACACTCTCAAGAAACCTAATGATGCATAACCCAACTCCTTTCATAAACCCCGTAACCTCTTACCTTCAACAGCCAGTAAGCGAAATAACGCCAATTCCTGCATCCAATTCCATTGAAGACCCTATGAAGAAATTAACCTAACTAATGGAAGAATTGGTAGTATCAGTAAAAAGCAATAATAGGCCACGGGAAACTTATAATGAGAACAGGAATAACTTCCGGGGAAATCGTTCACAGGTCACATGTTTTGCCTGTCAACAACCGGGGCATGTTTCTTGGGAATGTCCCAATATAAATAATAATCGACGCCACGGTCAACCAACAAATGAGGATGAAGGACGAAGACATGAAGGGAGAGAAGGGAATGACATAGGAAGTAGACCTACTGTGGATGTACCTCGTACCCAAGCAATGTTGGCACAACTTTTAAACGACGAAGGATCTTTAAACTAGAAAGCGCACCTCTAGAGGGTGAGAGTGCGTCCGGTTTTGTAAATCCCTCAGTTGAATCTCTATTTGAAGTTTATGCTGCAAAAAGAAGAAAAAAAAATGATGGAGAAGCGACGGAAATTGAAACCTCGAAAGATGATAAGGAACCGACCGAAGATCATATACACAAAGTGAGAAAACCAATTGCAAAGAAGAGGAAAACTAAACCCGTCGAGCCTTTAATAACGTCTAATATTCAACCCTACTCCATAATGACTGACTTACAAAATAAGAAAGCCGATATTACTTATGCGCAGTTGTTTCAAGTAGCACCTAATATCAGAAAAGAAATTGCAAAAATAACCAGGGCCGGAAGATTAACTACATCTAAGATGGCAGAATTTTGTTTTAAAAATGACGAGAATTCAAAAACCACTTCGATGTATTGTGAAGCACAGGTAAAGGGCAATCCAATTTTATTAATATTGGACAGTGGATCATCTGGTTGTGTTGTCTCGGCGAATTTTTTAAAAGAAATCGGGATTCCAATCAACCGCCCTTCAACCATGGTGATGACTGGGGTGCATGGAGAACAAAAACGCCCTTTGGGCGAAGTTGACGCATTTCCTATAACTGTTGGGGGTAAGACAATTACTTCTCGTGCAGTTGTAACAGATGCTGGAAATTATGCAGTAATTGTCGGAAATGATTGGATGAAAAAAGCGAGAGCAAGGTTAGATTGGGAGGAATGCGAATTGATGATCCGTGATGGAAATAAGCGGATAAAAATACCTATTGAATATTGTAAACCCGTGAATATTGATGCACGAATTGGAAGAAAAGAAAACTCTGAAAAAGAAGAAGAAATAGAAAATACGTCAGAGGAAGAGACAGAATCAGAAAGTGAAGAAGATGATGAATATGAAGAGGAAATTTTATTAAATAAAACATACCTGTACTGGGAATTCGGGGAAGATGAAGACGAATTAGAGACATGCAAAATATGTCTAAGAAAGGGGCATAATAATTGGGAGTGCATTTTTAATAAGGAAGTAGAGGTAGAAACAGTGTACCTAGGCGAGGTGAAAGAAAAAAAGGATATCAATCTAGGCCCATTAACGAACGAACAAGAAAAACAGATGAGATTGTTATTAGAAAGATATAAAGATACTTTTATAGAAGATTCAGGCCGTTTAGGAAGGACCTCTATAATTTAACATAAGATATTTACTGAAGATGGTCTCCCGATTAAGCAAAAATTTTATCCCACTTCTAAGCCCGAACATGAATTTATCAGTACTGAAATTCATAGAATGCAAAAGGCTGGAATTATTCGACCATCAACCAGTCCATGGGCTTCACCTATAGTTCTAGTAAGAAAGAAAAACGGGATATTTCGATTTTGCGTGGATTTTAGAAAACTGAATAAGGTGACCAAGCGAGATAGTTACCCCCTCCCCAGAATAAATGAACTGTTAGGAGCTCTAAAACATTCAGCGTGGTATTCGACCCTCGATCTAGCTAGTGGGTTTTGGCAAATAGAGATGCACCCACGGGATCGAGAAAAAACGGCCTTTACTTCGTGATTTGGTTTGTACGAGTTCAATGTGATGCCCTTCGGGCTCACAAATGCGCCTGCATCGTTTCAAAGACTTATGGATCGGGTATTACAGGACATTCTTTGGAAATTCGCATTAGTATACATTGACGACATTACTATTTTTTCTCCTACTTTCGAAGAACATATCATACATGTCGAGGAAGTTCTCAAGAGGATACGAACTGCCAACCTAAAATTAAATAGCGAAAAATGTTATTTCGGGCAGCGAAAAATAACGTTTTTAGGACATGAAATTAGTGAACGAGGAATAGCTCCAGGAGAAATAAAGGTCAGAGCTGTGAAGGATTTTCCTCGACCAAAAAACCTTAGGACTCTTCGTGGATTTTTAGGTCTTGCGGGTTTTTACAGAAGATTTATAAAGAACTTCGCAAAAACCACTGCACCTTTATACAAGCTTCTGAAAAAGAAAGAACCGTTTAAATGGGACTCCGATCAGCAGAGAGCCTTCGATGAATTGAAGAAAAGCCTAATTTCTGCTCCAATTCTAGCTCACCCTGATGATAGGAAGGGGTATACTCTCTACACTGATGCTTCTTATACGGTCTTAGGAGCTATTCTAGCTCAACTAGGCGGTGATGAGAAAGAATATGTCATTGAATACGCCAGTCGAGCTACTAGTGTTGCAGAAAAAAATTATACGATTACCGAGTTGGAATGTACAGCAGTCGGATGGGCAGTAAGGAAGTTCCACTTATATTTGCATGGATCTAAATTTATTATCATCACAGACCATTCGGCATTAGTATATTTGAATAATATGGCGAATCCGACAGGACGAATGGCTAGGTTGATAATGACTCTTCAGGGATACAACTTCGTAGTTAAACATCGTGCTGGCAAACAACTTTCCCATGTGGATGGGTTATCTAGAATTGAATATAAAACTTAAAAAAAAAAAAAAAAAAAAAAATTTTTGAAAGAAAGAAACACTTAAATCCGAAGAACAAATCCAGTCCAGGTTCCGGTGTCCTGGCACACAAAAAAAAAAAAAAAAAAAAAAAACCTTAAGAGATTAAACCAGACTGATTAAAAATGGAGGAGGAAAACTATCAAGTATTAGTAAAATACCTTACCGAGTTAGTCGTACCCTCCGAATACAATAAGTTACAGTGCCGAAAACTTAGAGCTCAAGCCCGATATTTTCTAGTACGAGAGGGAATTTTATACCGAAGGACTAAGGAAGAATTGTTAAAACCATTAAGGGTTGTCCAGCGAAATGAAGTACGAATTGTTTTGGATGCTATACATGGAAATGCAATAGGTGGACATATGGGAGAAAAGGCTACAATTGATAAGATTTCCAAACGATATTACTGGCTACGAATGATATCTGATATAAAAAATTTTATAAAAGGGTGCGAAGTCTGTCAACAAAGAGGACGAGCTATCACGCACGAACCTTTACACCCTATAAAGCCAGTACAGCCGTTTGACCGAATAGGGATTGACTTCGTTGGACCTTTACCACAGACGAAACGAGGAAATAAATATCTGATAGTCGCCACAGAATTCTTTACCAAATGGCCCGAAGCTAGTGTGTTACCAGACTGTAAGGCAGAATCGGTGGCATCCTTCCTAGTGAATGACATTATCAGTAGACACGGGTGTCCCAAAGAAATTATTTCAGATCAGGGTTCGCACTTCAATAACCGAATAATTGCTGATATTTGTGCAAGCTTAAGTATCAAACATAGAATGTCATCAAGTTACCATCCTCAAATGAATAGTCAAGTGGAAAGATTCAACCGCACTCTATGTGGAATACTAGCGAAAAGTATGATTCAATATCAAGAAGACTGAGATGAATTTGTTCAATTATCTTTATTCGCTTACCGAACGGCACGACATGGGACCACTAAGTATGAACCATTTTTCTTGACATATGGACGGGAGGCTCGATTACCTGTAGAATCCGAAGTAGAAACCTATCCAACCGAACCAGCTAATGAAGAAGGAGAACAATTAGCTATCGTTGCTAGAATAGTAACTTTAATAGATAATTTAAAGGAAGCGCGTGCTATTACTTTGGAGAATATCAAACGATCACAAAGAAAGCAGATATTGGACTATAATAGTCGACACTCCCTACATAGCTTCTCTATCGGTGATAAAGTATGGCGTTATCAGGCAAAACTCGATAGTCGAAAAGGTGGAAAATTAGAACCACGATGGCTCGGCCCGTACTGAATACATAAAACATTTGGGAATGGTACCTATAGGTTACGTACACTAGATGGAAAAGTATTAGTACAAAGTGTGCATGGCAGCTTACTGAAACTGTATATAGAGCAAGACGAATCTATATTTCCCCGTAAGCCCTCAAAATAAGAAGCCTTTGATGGTTAAATCAAAAAAAAAAAAAAAAAAAAAAAAAAAATTTTTATAAAAGGAACAAAAAAAAAAAATTTTTAACAATTCTGAAGCATTCTCGGAATAACCATCGATCGGAACTAACAAATAACCAATGGAACAACGACTTGAAACTATTCGATCGCACGTACAAAAATTGGTGGCTGTCCTAAACTCAGACGAACTTGTGATTCTAAATCGTAATCATGTAACCCTACAGACATCTGATCAAGAAGTCTCCGAATACCTTCAGATCCCTGAAAAAAAGACTGCGGCTGAGAAAATTCAAGAAAGCATGCCCATTTACCTTCATGATTTAAATCGCAGAAACCCAACAAGCCTTATTCTTCCTTTTGAAACTCCAGGAGAAAATTGGGATGAAAAATTAGCCTATTCTTGCCAGGCAATACTTGCTTTAGACGCGCGAAAAAAGTCGAATGCTCAAACTCTAGAAGCCTACTATCGAATTGGAAGTATTTTAGCTGAAAAGGGGTGGAATGATGCAGCTAGAAAAAAATTTTGAACGTTCTTTTCATTAGAAAAAGGGAAAACTGTATGGAAGATCTCGAAGAGAGTTTATCAATTGTTTACCATCCGTGGGGAAGGATATTTGTATTTGGTAGAACATATTAATATCACCATACTTGAAAAAATGTATGATGAAGACTTCTCTGACCAATTGTTAGAAGAGGCGCAGGCTCTGAGAAGAGAAGAAGTGAATCTGGTGTTGACCGATTCGCGGGAGCTCATCCTTTCGAGAGAGGAATGATGTTATGCTTCCGAATTTCATTTTTCCATATTTAGTAAATTTAATATTATATTATTATTATTTTTTATTTTTTATTTTATTTTATTTTTTTTATCAGTATTATTATCAGTATTCTTTATTTGGGTAAGATCCGAGTAGGCACAATTAGATAGGTTTAACCCTCAACGGGGGATTAAAACCCTCAACGAGCGTTAAAGCTCCTCAATGGGGGTGTATAACCCTCAGACAGGAGTAGAAACCCTCAGTAAGGGATTAGGACATCCAGACCACTTTAAAATATATAAAGGATGGGTTTCAGTGTGAAATAAGGAAGGTCGTCCGAAATATTTATAATTTTCTACAATTTTAGTTTAGAACGCCAGTCATATATTAAAATTTGTTTACTTAAATTAAAGCATAAATAAAAGAGAAACTTTTGCCTTATAAATTCGAAAGTTTATTGATAATATAAATTGAAACATAGTGTTTGCATAATAGTAACTTCTTGACCGCTGATCACGAGATTTATGTCATTAATCCAAGTAATAATAATAATTCATACAATTCGTATACCTAGTATCTTTTGTTTACGATCGAAGCTAAATCGAACTTAACCCTAACAAGCTCTCCCACCGATCGTAACACCCCACACAGTGCTGAAAGCAAAGCTGCCCATATAGCTTCCAATTCTGCGCGAGTTGATGAAGGCTAGTTTTCTATACCACAACTAAAACTAATACTACTATCTATCTCCTCCTTACCTCTGACTAACCAGCTAGCTCCCATTCTACCTGTTCTCCCTTCTCTGCTATTTCCTGCTAACGCGCTATCTGTATAATATCTGATAACCCCCTCCTCTTTTAATTTCTCATATGCATCTACTAGTTCTCTCTCTATCCTTTTGTTTTCTACTACTCTTTGTTTAATTGCACTTTCGAGACTATTTGCTGTGATTTTTACTGATACCTCTTGGTTTGTCTTGTGGTCTGTGCAAAATTCTCTATTCTCGATAAGTGCTGATAGTGGTGCTCTCAGTACTACTTCTTTTTCATTAATTTTCTTTACTTGAACTATCTGCGGTCCTTCATCGTATTTGATGCTGACTAGACACTCATTATTACTAGTGCTTCCTATATTGCAACGGCTACACTTGTCATATAAGTAGTCCTCTGCTGGTTGGTTTGATTGTCTCCAGTGCTCGACTATTACATGCTTCTCTGTTTTCCTTGCTATTTTTCCTATATAGAAGTCTCCTCTTTTTTTGAAAAGTACCCATTCTTTTTTCCATCTGTCTTTGGAAATGACTTGTGATTTTATTTATATTAATGAGGTCTTGTTACACTTTAGTATTCTTCTTGTTTATATCTTTATGTTGATCTGCAATACTTCTGTCTTTCTTCTTATAAGAACTTCTTCTAGTTCTGTTTTTGCTTATTCTTCTCTTTTTTTTCTTATTTCTAAACAAGAATCTCTTTGTTCTAACTATCTATTATTTAAGTAGCTTTTTCTTCTTTACTATTTTTTTTACGAATTAATCTAGCTTGTTCATATATCTTTTTTTGTTCTTTAATTTTTTTCTAGCTTCTTCATAGCCTTTCTTGCAATCAAATATTAATATATACAATAAATTATGCTGTTCAAATTTTTCTGATATTTTCTTAAGTATACTTTCTTCTAATAAACTATCTTAATAATTTTTTTTGTAAATTTCATTATTTCTAAGTATATTAATAGCTGCTACTTTCACTTTTATATTTTTTTTCCTTCATATCTATCTTTACTAGATGCTCAAATACTTTTTTCTAAAGATATATCAGATTCTGCTAGCATCAGATTCTTCTCTGATTCTTTTGTAATATTATAGTATTAGTTTTGCATATATCTAATAATATCTTTGCCTTGAATTTTTTTAATATTTTCTATTAAACTACATATTTTTTTGCTTTTTTCACTTTTTAGAAATTGATTTAAAAGTTGTACTTGTTCTTTT